TACCGTATACTCATTAGAGCAGATGCTGCCCCTATTCATCTTACTTAGTTTATGTCCAGCTTGTCAACATAGATTTAAAATGTTTAAACCAGGTCTTTTTGGGAGAGGAGCATTTCCTGACGTTGAAGTTGGCTACCTGCTCCTTTGTGGCTGAGGTCCAGTTCCTCTAATCATCTTTCCCCTTTTCATTTATCATTGTTGGGATCATTCCATTGTCATCCACTGCTATACCATAACAAACCACCTCCAGGAGTCTTGTACTCTGACAGAAACAGTGTGTTTAAAAGTCCTGTTCTGTAATTACCTCCCTCCAGCCACGCTGAGTGTCACTCCGCACCGATCCCAGTTCTTCCAGTATGACCGCATCACTCTGACCTGTGTGGCAAACTCCGGCAGTTGGACAGTGAAGAGGACAGTTTCCAGCATCGCTGGTCAGGAATGTCAGCACGGCTGGGCCATCCCCAGCAACTCTTCCTGCACCATTGAGGACGCCTACCCAGAGGACTCTGGGGAGTACTGGTGTGAATCTCAGGGAGGAGGATGCAGCAACAGGGTCAACATCACCGTAACTGGTAACAGCCAATGGGCTTGATCCATTTTACAGTTTAAATACCTAGGTAGAGCTAAATTAGTGATTGTCACAAAGCAAACATTTCCTTAACATGGTGATTAATGTACATTCTAGCTAACAGTGTGATCCTGGAGAGCCCACCGCATCCTGTTGAGGAGGGAGAAAATGTTACTCTACGTTGTTTCTACAAAGAAGACAGCAATGATGAATCCACATCAGATTTCTCTGCTTATTTCTATAAAGATGATGTTTTCATTGGGAGGAAGATCCCAGCGGAGCTCACTCTGAAAGCAGAGGAAGGTTTCTACAAGTGTCAACATCCTTCTGGAAGAGAATCACAACAGAGCTGGTTGGCAGTGAAAGGTGAGGATGTGCTCATATATTTGCTTCAAACCAAGTTTTCATTTAATTACATAAATATTGGGAACTCATTGAGAGCTGTAAAAAAACTCTTATCAGGCCTAAAAAAAATGGCCAAGGCAGCAAAACGATGCCCATCAAACATTGAGTTGGTTTTAGTATAAAGGGTGCTTCATAAATAAGATTGATTGATTGATTGATTGATTGATTGATTGATTGATTGATTGATTGATTGATTGATTGATTGATTGATTGATTGATTGATTGATTGCCTTAAAACATGTTTTCAAAAACTTTATGATGGTTTTAAAATATCATTAGACATCTGAAAGTATTCATATTTTGATATTTAAAGCTAAAATGTTATATTTTTGTTTCTTCTCAGCTAAAAATCAACCAACAGATTTTCCTCCCACTTCTCCTCCTGTCATATTTTGGCCCAGATTAATATGTGGCTCTGTGCTCTTCATCTTCTACACCTTCATCCTCATCTTGTGTATACACATATACAGGAAATGGGCTCCAGGTAAGATCACCTGATGGTGAAATAACAGTTGGTGAATTAATTGCACTTACCAAATAGCTTTTTTGACTGATAAGAAATACATTTATATGATCTATTATGACTCAGCAATTTGCACTCTATATTAATTTGATTCAGCAAAGACCCTTTGGGTTTTGTGTGAAGGAATGAATATATGGAAAAGCCCCTCAGGACCACTGTAAGGTATGGTAGAGGATCAGTGATGCTGTGGGACCGCTCTTCTTCCAGAGGTTCTGAGCATTGTTCAAATCCATGGCATCAGAAACTCTCTGAAATACCAAGACATTTTAAATCAAAATTTAATGGATGTGGTCAGAAAACTGAAAATAGATCCTCATTCATTCTCTGAGCAGAATAATGGTCCAAAACATCAAAACAGAAACAGTTCACGAGATAAAAACCCAACATGGATCCATGATAATCTTCCTCCTACAAACGTATATAAGTTTCTACGTTTTTCTTAAAAAAAAAAAAAAAAAACGATCACAATGACAATATTCAGACCAATGTTTTGTAAACTAGAGAGGGCTCTCTGGCACCATCTAGTGTTCACGATGCAAAAGAGAATATGTGTTTTTTTATTAAGATAAATAAATAAATAAATAAATAAATAAATAAATAAATAAATAAATAAATAAATAAATAAATAAATAAATGCATGGTCAGTGATTGTTTCTGTGTTTTTCCTGCAGTTCGAGTTGATAACAGAACAAATGCTGGTGATGATGGAGAAAAGAGAAGACGATGAGGAAGAAGTGGAGAAATCAATGTAAACAATTAGTCCTGTTTATGAGTTAAACAGTTATATAGAGACCAAGTTATTCATCTGTTTATCTCAATATAGATTTATCAATTTATTGTCATTTCTTTGGAAACATTTGATTTTCCTCTGTACTGAATATCACTTCATCTATAAATTGCTCTTTTCCCAGCATTAAACATGACATTCATAATTCCTGCTACTTGATATGTTTTTCCTTTAACCAGAAGGAAAAACTAGAAGGTGAAGGTAAATCTAGATTTACCAGATTTGCCGTCTGGTAAATCTAAATCAATAAGCAAAGTTCAAATGTGGAGTTTCTGAAGGCTTAATTATTGAGCTACATTTGTTTAGCATTTATGATGACACCAGTTTAGATTATGTTGTACCTATGATAACAGATTAATGTAAAAAAAAAAAATCAGGCAGGTGTGTATTTTTGTTGAAAACTGTTGAACTTGACTGATGCCATTTTTAATAGTGTTTATAATTTATTGGTCTATTTTGAATTAAGCTCTTATGTATTTGAACATTTGATGCCTTTGTTTAGCTAGTTGGTTCAGCTGTGGCCATTTGAAATGAAAATTAATGAAAAAAAATTATATTTTTTGTAAAAATAAATAGATACATAATAATAATAATAATAATAATAATAATAATAAATGAAAGAGAGAGAAAATAAATGTCTACAATTCATAAATCAAAGTGTGAAATTGATATTGTGTCAATCTTTGTTCAGTACGTGGTTTTGATAATTATGGATCACATTTTATTTTAATGTTTAATCGAGTCTAAAAACACAAACTCCATGATTTCAGCATTTCTTCTGCTGAGGAACACTGTCGTATTTGTCGCCATCTGGTGGCCATCTTTCAGGTTGCACCACACTTTTGTCAGCCAGAGCTAGGAAAGCCTTGTACAGTCAGTGTTTGTTGTGTCTTTTTAGGACCACAGGAGGTTCAGGACTCCTGCCATCTGCAGGCAGAAAACAAATCTCAACTTAAAGTAACAAAAACTCTGATTACTCACTTTGTTCTCACCTGAAAACCACAACTGCTTATGATATTTGGAAATGTTACTGACATATAATAAAATCAAATAAAACACAAACAAAATACAAAATAAGATGCAGTCATTTGATATTCAAACAATGAGTCAACTTTATTTAGATATTTATGTAAAACTAAACAGAGCTTAAAATCAGAGTCACAAGACGTCTATTGACACAGTTTGATCCAGAATCTGATATTTGTCCAATAAATAATGACTGACGTCCTTATGTGATGATTGATGATGATAATCACAGTTTACAACAACATTTGGTCTGACAAAGCAATAAATGTAATTAGTTAGCTGAATAAAAATCCTCCTGTGGAGTGATATCCTCCATTGCAGATCAGAAACAGGAAGGGGCAGCACCCAAACAAACTCCAACAATACAAAACAACAAGATGATAAAATAGCTTCATAAAGACATTTGATCTCTGGACACAGAAGAAATGACAACAATGATCTCTCCAAAACAACAATGAAAAAAAAAAGGAACTGAAACTAAAATAGACCAACTGGACCTCAAATCACTGCTGACTATTCAGGTTTAATGAACTCAGCAGAGGATCCATCAGGACAGGAAAATGAAAAGTAAACTCTAATCACAGCATATGGAGGCTGAGTGAATCTGGTCTGGACTCTGTGGAGGAGAGTCATGGTTTTAGAGACGCTGTAGAAAGACAGAATACCTGCTGTCTGATCCAGATAAACTCCTATTCTGGAGGAAACTGGACGTGCTAATGGAGTTTTAATGTTGTTGTGATGAAATGTGTAACTGTTTCTGTCATAATATAACGACCAGGATTGGTCATTGGATCCCAGTCTTTCTGTTCTGCTGATGTTCTTGTATGAAACGGCTACAGCTCCTCCTCCTCTCCACTCCACCTCCCAGTAGCAACATTCAGTCAGACTCTCTGTACTCAGAACCTGATAACATAAACCATCAAATCTGTCTGGATGGTCAGGATAAGACTGTTCATGGTTCACAAATGTTACCTTTCTCTTCCCCTCAGATAATAATAGAAATCTGTTTAAGGTGTTTGGATCCAGAGTGATTATTTGTGAAAATTTTAAGAATCCATCTCTGGTCTTTGGTTCTGGTTCTGGTTTTGATTCTAAATCACCGACTTTAATGGATCTTAGTGAATTTTTTCTCCATGTGTCTCCCGGGAGGTCCTGTGTTTTGTCTCTGACCTCTGACACAGCTGCTGTGACGTCGTTAAAGTTTTCCTGGGGTTGAATCTCAGATAATAACAGCTTCTTGTGTTCTGTGTTAATAATATCCAGAGTGATTTCTTGGGAATATTTTAAGAATCCATCTCTGGTCTTTGGTTCTGGTTCTGACAGAAGAACATTCACATCAGTGACCATCAGTGAGATGTTTGTCCATGGGTCTTTCAGGACGTCCTGTAGTTTGTCTCTGAGCTCTGTCACGGCTGCTGTCACGTCCTCAAAGTGTCTCAGAGGACAGATCTTCACTCTGGATGAGTGTTTAGACCTACTGAGTGCTGGCAGTGAGGGGTAGTTGAGGAGAAACTGGTTGTGATCCTCTGTGATTGAGAGCTGCTCCAGCTCAGCGTCTTTCCTCTTCAGCTCAGTGATCTCCTGCTCCAGCTTCTCCTGAACATCTTTGACTCGACTCACTTCAGTTTCCTGCTGGGATCTGATCTGCTGCTTCACATCAGAGCTTCTTTTCTGGAGGAGACGGATCAGCTCAGTGAAGATCTTCTCACTGTCCTCCACTGCTTTATCAGCAGAGACATTGATGGCCTCCACCTCCTGTTGCAGCAGCTTCACATCTTTCTCTTGGTCCTGGATTCTCTGATGGATTTGTTGTCGACTCTCCTGGAGCTTCTTCTGCTTCTCAGCTCTTTCTGCTGCAGCTGGGACTGTTTCATGGCCTTTATGTTCATCCATAGTGCAGAGAAAAAAGATACACTGCTGATCAGTACGACAGAAGATCTTCATCGCCTCATCATGACGAGAGCAGATGCTCTGCTGGAGGTTCTTGGAGGGATTCACCAGCTTGTGTTTTTTAAAAGCAGATAATTGATAATGAGGCTGGAGATGATTCTCACAATAAGTAATGAAACAGACCAGACAGGACTTAGCAGCTTTCATCTTCCTCCCAGTGCAGACATCACAGGCCACATCTTCAGGTCCAGCATAGCAGTGATCAGCTGGAGCAGCTAGGAGTCCAGTTTTCTTCAGATCCTCCACCAACTCAGCTAACATGAAGTTTTTCTCTAGGTTAGGCCTCGGTTTGAACTCTTTCCTGCACTGAGGGCAGCTGTGGATTTCCGTCGGATCTTCTCCATCCCAGTGATCTTTAATACAGTTCATACAGTAGCTGTGTCCACAGGGAATAGTCACCGGATCCTTCAGTAGATCCAAACAGATGGAACAGGAATATTTACCTGAATCTATCTTATTTCCTCTCTCAGCCATCTCACTTCTCAACAACACTGAATGTCTCTAGTTCCTCTTTCTCCCATAGATGTGTCCCAAAAGAAGCCAAGCCAAGAAACCAGGTTGCTATTGATCTTCAGCAGTTTGTCTGATCAGCTCAGTGATTCTACCGATCCTGAAGATTTCAGAAGAGTGAAACAGGATGAACCAGAAATGCAGCGGCAGAGCTGAACTTTGTGTTCAATAGATGGGAGGAGCTTCACAGCTGTTAATGTTTTTGGGCGGGGCAAAGTAAATATTTCAGATTTCTTGCATTTCTCACTTCACTTTCTGGTTTTAAACTTTTTTAATTTGCTGACTTTGGCCTCCAGTTGTATGGAGAACCAAAACTGACATGATAAAAGCGTAAATATATATTTAGTTTTTCCTTGTCCTTACACATATGTTTCTGTCAAGAAACTTATATATTTTCTTTTTCATTTCCCCTAAACATGCCTTATTGTCAAGAAAAGTTGATATTTTATTTTGTCTTTTCCTTATACAAGCCCTTCTTCTTTTGTCATTGTTTCCTCTCCTTTATCCATTTCTCCTTTTTCCATTTCTTCTTTTTCTACTTCTCTTATTTCTACTTCTCCTTTTTCTACTTGTTCTTTTCTACTTCTTTCTTCTCTCTTTCTACTTCTCCTGTGTTTACTTTTTCGTCTGAATCGTTATGTTAATGAGGAGAGCTGCCTTCTATGTCTCCTATTGGCCAATAGACCTTTGGAACCAACGTCACTGCGTCAGACGCTGTGGGGCGTTTAGGTGCAGTCACTCGGTGCCATCTTTGCAGGCCACAGACCAAAACAAACTTTATACCTGTGGTTTTATTGTGTTACCAACTGCAGTGAAGTTAGTTTCGAGTTGGATATTCAATATTCCAATATCTGTCAAGCAAGTCACATTTAGTTCAAGGTTGATTTGATTTATGAACGCTAATTTCAGCCAGCCGTTCTCTAGCTAGGACAAGGAAAAACTAAACATATAATTATATAATTATGCTTTTATTTGTTATTATGTCAGTTTTGGTTCTCTATACAGTAGACCATAATCAGTGTTACATTAATTTATATATTATTTTGTATGAGCAGATTTACCAACTCTACAATAGTAAAATATTTGCTATGCAGCAAAGATATGTTAGTAAATTATTTACTTGAGAAAGTTTTTTACATTTGGAAGCTCTGAATTTCATAAAAAAATATTGTGTGAAGAGATTAAATTAGCTGTTTTATTATTAATAAAAACAGAATAATAATGGTGGTTTTATTAATATTATTGTAACAGATGTATTCAACAGCTGTGCAAACAATGTCAGGTTTTCTGAAGCTGATGCCTCCAAACATTATGAGACCCTGACTGTGTCCTTCCACCCCCATTGTCTTCCTCAGGAGATCAGACTGTCCTGGTTTATGTGCCTGGACCAGACTACACTTTAACAGCTGAGTTCAGAACTGAAGGATACAATAAGATACAACATTACTTCAGGGAAAGCCAGGCTGCTCTAATGGGGGATTTTAACAGATGTGACGTTTCCATTCTTCTCCCAAACCTTGAACAATATGTGACATGTCCAACACAGAGATAAAATCCTGGATAAATGTGTTGATGTTTACATGTGCAGGTGCTGTCCACCTCTCATCTGAATTACATAGAATATGGAAAACATTAACTTAAAACTTGAAATAACAGGAAATATTACAAGATTGAAGAGTTTTTCAAGCAACAGTGGGAAGCAAGCAGGAGTACCCCTTTTCTCTTTCCGTGACTCCTGAACTTTACAGGGCGCTGAATATTGTCTGTCAGGTCGTTGAAGGGGAAGAAGGAGTAAATGTGCTGTTGGAACTAGACTCTGTGTTTTACAGCTTTGACTGGTTATACTGTTTTCTTTGTCCCAGAAAATTTTATTGTTTCTGTCTGCAATTATTCAAGTTGTTCAGATATTCAGTTCAGAAACCATTCAGGAAACAATGATACGACAACAAAGTTTAGTATGTTAGTCAATAATACAATATCTAGAAATAACAACAACAAAACCCTGTTTTACAAAAAAACTGCTTTCTTCATGTGTTGAATGAGCTCCAGATCAATAACCTTTAACCTGGTTTCTCTGTCTTACACTGCCATCTGGTGTTCATTTGCAGATACTAAAAAAACTTTACAAAACAGTCTGCTCATTTATATTATAGTAAAAAAGATCAGTAAAGTTCAGCTTTACTAAATCCAGACATTTAACAGTAAAGTTTTTTCTTTTCTTTTTTTTAGCATAAATTAGTAATTGTTTTCTTAATGTGATCCATATTCCACTATATAAAATTCTGAAACAATATAACACCTTCTATGCTAGATTTTTTTTTTTTTTTAAATACTGGATTAAATGTTAGATTAAAGATAACTGTTAAAGTATTAGGTCGTAATACGGTGGCCACCGTATGGTAAAGTGTGAATGACTACAACAAAACAGAAATCTAATTTCACAAAAATGGGATTTGGGTCACTTCAGGCAGCAGTGTGAACGGAGCGTCCTACGTACGACTCCCGGGCCGGAACCGGCTAAATGCATTATCATGAAAAAATATATGCCTCGTTTAATCTGCAGTTCCTATACTGTCCACGGGGAGGCGCTGTGTTTTATTCAGAGCAGACAACATGATGCCACACTGCATCGGAACCAACAGCAGATGGCAGCACTGAGCTTCAGGTGCTGTAAACAAGTTTGATTCTATCGCTTTACCAGCTTTTTATTGTGGCTTTGGCAACCTCATATTTCTCGGGCATGTCATGTCTGTAAGTTTTTCTATATACATTTTATGCATCAACCAATGTACTTATGTCAAACGTCTGTTTAAAACAGCTGACACTTAAGATGTTCAATGTGTGAAGCCAGATAATTTGTTCAAACTGCTTCCCAGACGTGGAAAATTGATTTAAAATCATTTCTTAATTTTGATCAGTTTGATGTATTTTGTGATGCAGGACAGTGTTTTTAAGTTCCAAAAATTGTGAATACATATTTTTGCAACATTGTACGATCACTGTGATCAGTTCTTGTGCCTAATGCACTTAAATAAATGTTTAACTGAGTAAAAGTATTGTTAAAATTGCAGACACTTTTCTTAAAAACTCTGAGGTTATTCGTAATATATTCTGTAAAAGTGAAATTCGTTTAATATAAAAATCAACAACAAGTCCACTTTTATTGGTTTTATTCAATCTTGCGATGAGTTTACTTGTGTGGCCCCCTGCAGATCAGATTAAGCTGCAAAATGAGTTTCTTTAGTTCCCTTCCACTGAGCCAGGTGTGTGGAATGAAGATTGTTCGTTGTTTCGTGGCTGGTATGGAGAATTTCTCACAACAATATGTCGCTCTTTGCTGCTGTTCTCCACCAGAGACGTCTGAGGATTTGTTTTTTCCTGTCTTCTCATCCTCCTAACTCTGGTTCAGCACTAAATATAAATATGAGTTTTCCTTCTCGCCTCTGTGTGTGTCCCAGTTTTATCCCAGAGGATGAAACAGCTAAAGTTTACAGAATAAAATCTTGTAATACCTTTAAAGATAGACTTAAAAATCAAAGGACAAAAGAAAAAAAGTTTCAATTACATTTATTTTAAAATTGTTGTTTGTAGTAAGAAATGTCACAAAGGTGGTTATCAATGAATAAATGTTAACAAATGATAGTTACAATGCAGAATACATGTACTGAAACTTAAAGTTGTTTTATTACTTTTCAGTTGGAAATTCTTGTTTTGCAATAAAATGAGGTTATTTTCACACATTTTACACATCTGACCCTAATGATAGATCTCTTAAGTATCTGAAAGCAGAGAGCTGTAGTTTCACTTCTGTAAGTCTGTATTTTATTAAATCAGTCGTCTGAAAGTCGTTCTGTCTTACTGAGGATGTTGATGCAAAGGTTACATGTTAGGCTCACAAACAGTTACTTATGATCATCTGCAGCACCATATATTAACATAACTTGGCAATTAGGAATGTTTTATGATAAATCATTTTGCATTCTATGTTCCCTATATGAGGCCTTTTACTTCCTAATTTGATGTATTTGTTCTGTTACAAAAGCAGACATTCCAACTATTGGAATGTCTGCTTTAAATCAAACTTTAAAGCAGTTTAATATTTAAATCAAACTTTTCATTTTTAACAAAAACAAACAAACAAACAAACAAACAAACACTGCAAACAAATCCAGCAAACAGACTCATAACAATAATTTATTAATGCTGCTAGATGCTGCTTCTCTTTCAGGTGTCAGTTGTATTTATGGTCTTTGCATCACACTGGCTACTGACTGAGACCATGGACTCACCTGACTGATGTCTTTCCCTCCTCTCTGTTTTCACATAATGGTTGGATCCCATATCCTCCCCTAGGAAAGAAGTGGGGAAATGTCTCTCTCTCTCTCTCTCTCTCTCTCTCTCTCTCTCTCCCTCTCTCTCTCTCTCTCTCTCTCTCTCTCTCTGCCAAACCGGTCCAACCTGTTGGCGCTTTGACAGGCAAAATATAACTTGCTGTTCTGCAAATACTTTCACTTTAGTCAGAACAAACTGACTGATGCAGCATGGATACGTCTTATTTATGTTTCTGAAAGTGTTAGATCTTAAAAACCCTGAGTTTAGTAACATTATAAATGTGTGACAGTAAACCTCACCTACTGTAATAAAGCCTGAAACGTCTTCAGTTAATGTTCACAGGTGTGTTTAAACACTTATATTGTGTTTGTTTTTCCAGTGAGCCCAAGTTAGACTGACCTACTTTGCCTTTGGTCCTATTTCCTCGCCCCAGGGCTCGTTCACAGGTACATTACACCTGAAGACAAAGTAATTTAAGATCTGATTAAAATGGTTTTACTCAAATCACCTGATGTGACTTAAAAACAGGAACATTTGACATAAAATTCTCTTAAAAAACACATTTAATACAAACAAAAACATAATTCAAACCACATTTAACCATTGGGGAGAAATAAATCAGATAATTAGATACAATTTACAAAAATGACGTGCAATTGAGTTATTGCAGAGCAGTGCATTGCCTTGCAAGATTTGTTATATGTTATATTTGCATATAGCAGTAAAAGTTATTTTTAATGGTAATCTGTGTGAT